TGGCTGCTGCAGCCACTTGAGGTTGCTGCGATCATGTACTCTCTGCTCACCACCTTTGCACTTCACCGCTGCTGGTCTTCACTGAGGACAAAGGGAGATTGCCACCTGGTCTGCTGCTGCTGCAGCACCATCTGCTTTTCCATTGCTCCAGCCTTTTTCTTGGCCTGGCCACTTGCCCTGTGGCTGGGTGACTCCTTGGCTGAAATTAATATTGGTGTTGCTGGTTTCATATTACTGTTTTATGTGTTTTCATATAAACCATTCCCTTTGAGTCAGGGGGAAGCATATCGGTGGCACTTGGAGCATGACAGCAAGGACTACACATGCACAGTTGTTTCAGCACCTGCATGGGATGCTTTCACACAGCCTAGGGAGGAACAGAAAAGCTTCCTTTAGTGTGTGAACAGGGAGATGCTGATTGAGGCTGATAAATTTTAAAAAATACCAATTAAAATCTTACAGAGTACCAATTGTTCTTTTAAGTACGTACAAAAACAAGTTCATTTTTCAGTTGACAAATCTAGACAAAAGGATGTTTCAGAGTCCCCAAAGAAGCTATTACTATGGCCCTTTTTCACCTGTTATGCAGCAACAAACTGCCCCTTCCTATATACTCAGCAGGACTTGTGGTCACGTTTTTATGAAATGCACATTTTCAAATGTGTCGTATCTACTTAAAATCAGTAGATGGAATCCAGAGAACTGAGAGCGAAGCCCTGTACTCAAAATGGATGTTTCCCACCTCCCCTGTCCTGTGGCAGCCTCCTGGGGCACTCCGAAAGCTACTTCTGATGGTCAGAGAACCTTAACAAAAAAGTTGCAAAGTCCTCCCCTTTTCCATAGCAGAAGTGCCTGCCATTTGTGCAAGGGTGCATTTGGATCCAACCCAATGTGTAAGAGACAACTGAATCCTTAATCGTAAACAAATTAATTAACTGAACCTGGCCTCTTTTTTAACCAAACTTAGTAATAATCAATAGTTGAGAAATGGACAAATTAAGTTTTATTTCTTTAATTTGGTGTTATCCTTTAAAAATAAAGACTTATTTATTGACAATGAACAGTTATAGTTGACTTATTTACTGATTTAGCAACATGTAAAGTATGGAGCCAACTTTGCCTTCATTTCTTCATGTTGACTTTTGTCTGCTTTACGTGAAATGCGTCACATATTTGTGCTTTGTGGATCACAAAACAGATGGGAATGTCCTTAAAATTAAAGACAGAGTATCTCTTGGTGTATGAACGTATCATTTTCTGAAATTCTTGATTTATTGTTATTAACAAATTAGCCTGACCAGTTATATGGTTTGATTCGGATTGCAGTATGCAATGCAGGCATGTGACTTCCTCATAGTACTTGTAATAATAATGCTCTTTAATATTAAAAAGACAAGCAAGACTTGCTTCATTTTTGTACAAATATAAGCTAAGCTGAATAATATTAAGTGATGTGTTTACCATACACATCAGCTGTAGTCTTTTAATATGGTTTATGTAAGTGGCTGCCCTCTTTGTCAGTCTCATGATTTTTTTTTAATTTGACATTTTTTGCCCAAGAGATTTATACCTTACATGAACATTTCCCCCATATGCTCTGTAGAGGGGGAAACCACGAGGTAAATGATGATATGGAGTACTTCTATAACTTTTATTTCTACCACAATCCTCTGTCTGTATCACTGATCCCTTTTGCGAATGTGTTCAAAATGTTTGTCTGATTTGTGATTGCTTTCCTGTGGCACAAAACTGATTGAGGATGACTGGTTCTTTCCTGGCTGCTCTGATCCAGCCATAGTCTCAGGGCAGCAGGAGCTGGAGGAGGAACTGGCTAGAGGTCAAGGGATTGGCAGGATGCATCCGGAGAGAAGAAAGAATACTCAGCCCAGCAGGAAACCGCAGGTATGTTGGGTTGCCTTAAGGATACACATTTTCATTGCTGATTTTAACAGCATCATAGGTATATGTGGTATTGTAATATGTGCGTGTGTGGGGGGGGGCACTGAATACAGATATGAACAATTTAGTTCCATTGGTATGATGTGTTTGGTTCGTTAAACTAAGGAGAGTTTCAGAATAATGTGATATTTTGTCTTTTGTTCTGATTTGTGTTTTATGGGCTATTTCCCTCCCCCCCTCTCACATCTAGGAAGATTATGGCTTCGATGGAAAGCAGTGCTATGAAGATCTGAATATCACCTTGGATAGCACCGATTCAGCTGAAGGAGAGAATATGGGAGGTTGGTGGCCAGAGTACACTTCCCCTAGTGCAGGTGTGGCAACCACTAGACAGTTTATTAAAGCATGCACGGCATCCGTTTTGTCTTATTTTTGTTTTTCAAATTCAACTAACAAACCATGTTGTGTTTGTGTTTGTGATCTATGTTGAATTTTTTGTTGGCTTGCCTTTTTGTTTCATTTTGAAGCATGTGCGTGCTGGATGAACTGTCTAGTTTTGGTTCAAAACTAGAATTCAGTTGTTTAACACTTTGGACTCTCATGTCTGAATAAACGTTGTCATCATTCATGGTAAGGTTATTCTTATTTTATGTTACAAATCATGTTGTAAAAGTGCCTCCAGTATTTTGCTCCACAACCAACCATTCTTTTCTGGTTTGTTTGGTGTTCTGTTTGTCTGTTAAGATACGTGTATTATGTACAGACAAAGCTTTATTTCAAGAAGAGTCGTTTATAAAAAACTATACATTTCTGGTGCACAGCTACTCTTAATGAAGTTGAAAGACTTTTTCGGGAATTTGTTAGTATTGTTTTGCCTGGGTCTGCTAAAGTTGTATTGTAAGTGACATTGAAAGTGGCCATATTTTATAGAATTCTTAATATTATTAATTCTCCTCCAGCATCTTGCTAAAACACCAGATTCTAAAATGGGCAAACAATTTGGGGCTCTTGTAATAAAGGGAAGAATAGATTGTAAAAAAATTATACATAGACCCACATTTTTCACTAATGTCAGAAAACAAAAGCAGTTTTGTGTACCAAAAATCCCTTTCTCTATTTTAAAAATGAACCGAGTGAGATGCAGAAAATACTAGGGCTGAAGTCATTTAATCAAGCTTTTGTTGATTAGTCAGTAGGGCCTAATTTTAATGAATGAAAATAAATTTTAATTAATGGGTTACAGGTCATTTTTTTCCCATTTTTAAGCTATTTTGGTTTTTCACTATTATAAAAATCATATGTTGTGTGACACTTTTATTCTACCCTTCCCCCAAGAAACTCAAGTCAGCATACAAAGTTTTCTCCACAGCCTTTTCTCTTTATAACAACTCTGTGAGGTAATTAGATTGAGAAATTGTGGCTAGCCTGAAGTTACCTAGTTGAATGCTTGGTAGGATTGGGGTTTGAACCTGAATTTTCCCAGCCTAACACTCTAACCACTTCACCATACCAGGTCTCTAAAGCTAGTCTTTTTTTGGTAGGGGCTAAAAGGTTTTCAAGTAATTACAAAATTTCCTCTGATTAATCAGACAGGAGTTTTTAACATAATTTTTAATACAAGAACTTTTAAAACCACAGTCCCTCAGAAGAACACTTGCTCTGTGCTACACAGGAGGAAATTTAACTTCCAATGACAACATCTGTTATTATATATATATATAACTTAGCAATATTCATATGACACTTACATAGATTACTGAGCAACAGGATGTATTTCATAGCTGTTTTGCAAATTATATAGAGGCAAAGCCAAATTTTACTTTTGAGACTTCCAGTGCTTCCTCTACTAATTTACCCCCATGGCTTGAGATCCATGTGCAAGAGAATTGTGACCCACTTTTCAGTCCCATCCTATAGTTTGACTGAATGACTTATTGCAGTATTTCTCAATCAGCTAAAATTTCTTTTAATAGGGTGACAGCCCAAATAAAAATGTCTACTTTGAATGAAATAGGTTTACGGACAGTAGTTGAAGAGCTGGAATTGGAAAGAAATCAGTTGCAAGAACAAATTCTATTCTTGGAGGAACGTTGTCAAGGCCTAGAAGATAGATTGCAGCTCCAAGGTAGAATGGAAGCTCTGCAGGTAGGAAACTGGAGGTACCATGGAGTGTTATAGTTTGTTGTTGTTTTTAAAAAAGATATTTCAAAATAACAGCATTTTCACTTATATAACAGCAAAAACTTTATCTTAACAGTGTTTGGTATTGCTGGATCTATGTGGTGCTTAAATTTGTATCAGCTTTGTTTACTAAAGTATAATCTTCTAAATAATATTGCATGACATTTAAAAAAATGCTTATAAGTTCATAGATTTACTAGGTGGGATGAAGACATCTACCTAGAAGTATTTCCCCCCCCACATAGTTGAATGTTGCAAAAGAAGAGTTCGAAGCAGACAGCTAAAGTAAAAATGGTGTTAGATAGCAGTAGGCATATGAACAGCGGAAGGTAAATTAATTCAGTCTTCTAAAGATTGCAAGAGGAGACAAAAGAAGATAGTGAAGGTCTTCTACTGAGTAGCCACTCAGTATTGCCTTTTAACGATCAGCTTTAGATATGAATGTAGTGTTGTTAGAGTTTATACTTCTTTAAAAGAGTAATCAGTACAGTCAAGTGATAGAAAATTAAAACCCTTTTCTTTAGCATGTTTTGTGAATGTGCAGAGTATAGATAATGTGTCAAAACACCAAAAAAACACCCATAATTTTTCACAAAGCTTCATTTCAAACAAGTAAAAGATGCAGTGTTAGGATTTCTAAGCTTCTTGTAAACACAGTGTAATAATTTAAACATTTTGTTCGTTGAGCTGTGTGTGTGTTGCTGATAGTTCTCTTAACATACTAAAAGTACATGTGTGATGATATGCCATTTACAGAATTTTTCTCAAGAGACAGCAGCTAGCAGTATTTCAATGTGATATCTGAGTTGTAACAAAGCCTTTCAATACAGGTGGCATTTGGTGTAGAGGAAGAAGGGCAGCTATTGAGGGCTGTACAGGTGTGTCTGCCCATTCCCAAATGATAGCTTATTTTTCTTAGAAGTGAGACTTGTTACGTTGTTTGATCTACCCAGCAGTTGATGGTAACTCTGTATGAGCTTACTCTGCTTATGGTTGCTGTTGGTTTGCAATTTAACTTTGTGCGGTAGTGCTGTGAAGCTGGGTAGACTAACATGTTTGGATTACATGACTGACTGTGTCCGTGGAGCTTGCTTGCTTCCCCAAGCATTGCACTTCACAACTGATTCCACACCTAACTAGCATTGGGCGATATTTGATGAGGGCAGGGCATGGCAAAGTGCCAGGGATTCAAATTAAATTGGGGATTTCCAAATTAATATTCTGTTTGGTGTCAAATTGTTTTCTAAGCTGTTTTTAGGTGGCCCATGTTAGAAGCAAGCTGCTCTCACACAGTATGTGTGCATGGTGTGCTTCTGTATGAAGATGATATAGGTTCTGTCTGTTTTGGTAATCTAATGATAAGATCACTATGGGAGAAAACTCTCAAACTACATCTGAACTATTTGTGCTAGGGAAAATAATCTTCGATGTTGTGTTTATGGATCATAATGAATGAGTTGCAATGATAGATTCTAACTCAAATAATTTAAAAGTAACCCAGTTGTTTCTGCCAATTTACATCATTTGCATCATATCCTTGCAGAATGAAAATGACCGTTTGCAGTCCCAGCTTACACAGCTGCGCAGCCAGCAAGCACGTGATGCAGAAAAACATCAAGTCCTTATTTCCAATCTGAATGAACAACTTAAAGGGTAAAGTATAAAACATTCACACACACCACCCATGTTGCCATTACTTTCCATAGGATGTTTTATGGTACTAGAAAAATTGATCTAGTTTTGTTTGTTAGGTAAAGAGTTGTCTCTTCCAAGAGTGAGCTCTGTATCCAGCCTTGTGCTCTGATTCTGTCTGTTTTGGCAACCTTTACTGACTCCTGGAAAGATCATTCCCGATGTTGTAGGACCTGAACAGAGGAACAGCCATGCAGGTCATGATGCTGCAGGGAGGATAGGATAAGGTGTGAAATTGCTCCTATGCCTTCCACAAGCACAGCTCCAGTGAAGGAAGAGAGAGCAGCAAGTGACTTCACCTCTTCACTCTTCTTCATTGCAGCAAACACACACACACACACACACAGAGCCGTTGCTCCCTACAGATCCTGTGGCCAAAGACATCATCTTTCCAGGTGTTGTAAGGGGGTGCCAGCATGGAAAGAGACTCAGGAGAGCTCTGTGTTCGTTTCATGCGTGTATGATTGGATACAGACCAATATTTGCTAAGCCAGAAATTTGTTTTACTGACAGGTTAAATGAAAGAAACGGTTTGCTTGAAACTTTGCTTGGGGAGAAGGAACAAAAGCTTTTGATTACAGCAGAAAAGGTTGAACGTGTAGAAGACCTGAGAAATTCACTTCAAGAGAAAGAAACTCTAAACAAGGAATTAAGTGAAAAACTTTTGCATATGGAACAGAAGGTGAGTTTCATTGTCAGCAAAGATGATGTATATGTTTGGTGTGTGTGTGGGGGGGACAGCAGGTTTGTTCCAGGTTTGCTTATGTATCACCTAACCATGGTTTAGTACTGAAGCAGATGCAAAGCAAGTCATAGCCGCTTGCCCAAGGCTAGATTTGAAGCAGAAGCTTTCCAGCCATTAACCACTTACTATATCAGCCCTTTAAAGATGCCCTCGTTAGTGTGGGCAGAGTACGTGTTTTATTGTGTGGTTCAAAGCGCGTTTATTGAAAAATATGCACCACTGAACTTACTCCCTTTTAAGTGAGTCTGATTGTAGCCCTAAACTGTTTTCTTGCACCCCCTTCCCTGTCAAGAGGGATTTGTTCTTTCTCTGCACTGGAACTTCAGTCTGATAATAAGCAACTGGCTGTTAACCACAGTTAATAGTTAATGAGTTGGCCACATATATTTTTCAGACTTGTAGTTTATTATGTTGTTTTATGTCAAAGTCCTTGCAATATTGGGTTGAAACAACCACTTATTGTTAGAATTAAATTCCAGTGCACAGCAAAAATCAGTCTCTCTTAACAGGGAGGTAGGTGCAGATTTTGTTGGGTGACCTGAATAAATACATGATGTAAATATGCTGCTGTGTGTCCCCAGTTAAGAAATCATGGTATAAAAATATGGTTTTAATTAAGCAGAAAAAGGAAGGGTCTTTTCACACAGGCAGTGTATGTAATTTGTTCATACCCTTTCTATTTTGAAACACTTTAGGTAGTTTGCCATGATTAATTGTGGAGAGAATGTGTTTGGGTTAGAGTCTAATAAAGATCAACATTATGCTGCAGTGTCAACTTTGCCTTTTTGTCATAATTACATAAATTGGTAAATATTGTTTTTCTGAACCTAGCTGGGAAATACCTTGAAGAAGTGCAGTATTTGTGAAGTAGAATGCACAGAACAAAAAGTGGTTATCAATGACCTAACAGAGAAAATGGCTGCCTTGAAAGAAAAGGTACAAAAATCTAATTAATTTTAAGATGAAAAATGTATGTATTATTTCAAGTCTGATTGCTTTTTTATATGTAATGTATTAAAAAGAAACTATCTTTTCTTTGTTGTTACAAATGGAGATTAATAAAGAAGTTGTGCCCAATAGGACTTGGCACTTATTTTTCTTGAACAGTAACCCTCTCTGCTTCATTGCAAATTGATTTTAAATTTTAAGTGATATAACATTGATTGTGATATAACATTGGGGATAAGCAAACATTCTATTGAGATCCTAGCAATAGTTGAATGTTTTGATTTTTTAGGCACTCATAAACATTATTTATCTTTGTGTTTAGATCTTGAAACAGGATGCTGCCATGGAAGCAATACAGCTTGATCTTGATCAGACAAATGAAGAACTCGATAGATTGAATACAAGCCATTTAGATGAAAGATCTCAACTCATTCAAGACCTCCAGAGACGTGAAAGAGAAATTGACAATCTAAAAGAAGTTCTACTCGAGAAAGACAAAGAAATTTCTGCTCTTTCTTCCAATATGACTGAATATTCTGAACAGATTAATATTCTGAAATGCCAGATCCAGTGCAAAGAGAATGAAGTACGAGAGATGGAAGACGCACGAACCAAGGCTGAAAGGGAAGCCCAGTTGTTGAAAGATGTACAAACAGCAGACATGAAAGATGCAAGCACAAAAATTTCAGCACTTTCCAAACAGTTTAATGCGATAGAATCAGAGTTGACAAAAGTGAAAGCTGAGAACGTGGCTAAAACCAAAGAAAATGAAGAGCTTGTTCGGCAAATCCAAGAGACCAGCAAAACAGTTAAAAATCTTCATTCTGACATCAAGGCCCGAGATGTAACATATAACAGCAAGCTCATGGAATGTGAGTCACAAATTAAATTGCTTAAAGAACAAGTAAGTAAATCAGCTGGAAAGTTGCAAGAAGCTGAGAGAAAATACAAGGAGGAAACAGATTATCTCAAATTCCAACTTGATGAACATATTTCTGCAAAGGAGAAACTGCGTACTTTGCTGGAAGAGAGAGAGAACAAAGAGCAAAGTTTTGTGAATGAACTGAAATCTGTGAAGGATTTATATAATCAACTAATTTTAGAAAATGCTAAGAAAGATGAAGAATTAGCTAATCTATCCAGACAGCTTGCTGAACATACTGAGCATCTAGAAATCACCAAGAAGTCTTTACAAGAAAAATCAGAGTTTATAATTTCATTGCAAGATACAATTAAAAGTTTGGAAGAGAAAAAGGAAACACTTAAGTTAGCTGGAGAGCTGGATGCCAAAGAAAAGCAGTGGAAAGAACTCAGTCGTGAGTTACAGAAAAAGCAGGAAATAATTAATAAGATGAAATCAGAAATAGAAAACAGTTCCCTAGCCAGTAAGCATCTGCAAGCAGTTCTTGATCAGAAAGAAAAAGATGTTGTGGATCAACTCAAAGCTAATGAAGTTCTTAGAAATGAGATGCATACCATGGAGAAGGAAAAGCAGCAGCTCATCAGTGAGAATGAAAGTTTGTCAAAATTACTAGATGTTAAAGAATGTGAACTGTTGAAGCGTGTTCAGTCGATGGCAGAGATGGACAGCAAGATGTCTGACAGTGCTCTGGAATTCCAAAAAAGGCTTTCAGAGGTCAGCTGTGATAAAGAGACTTTAAGGAACAAGGTTGAAGAACTCTTGGGCCTTATCAAGCAGAAAGAAAACTCAGTTGCTGAGAACTTGCTGGAGAAAGAAAAAGAGTATAGCGTGTTGGCTGATCAGCTGTTGAAGAGCAAGGAGATGACAAAGCAATTAGAAGAAGAAATTCAGTCATACAGCACTCAGCTGAAAAGTGCTAAAGACAGAGAGCTGGAGAGAGAAATGATGCTAAGTCAGAAAGAGTCAGAGTATAATAAAATGGTCCAACAACTCAGTCAGGAAGAAGGAAGAATATTGTCACTGGAGAAACTTGTTCAAGACATAGAAATGGACCTAAAAGTAAAATGCAAATCTCTAGAAGAAAAGACTGTGCTTAATGATGCCTTACTTAAGCAAATAGAAGAAAAGCAAGTCAGTATGTCAGAGTTAGAGAAGCAAATAGAAAGGCTTCAGGTTGATATCATGCAGTTGTCTCAACAGGTTGAAGAAAAAGATTCTGCTCTACAGTCTCAAGGACTAGAGATGGAGAATCTTCACAGGCAGATTGCAAAGAAAACTGAGGAGTGTGCAGCATTAAATGATCAACTAGCATTATTAGGCAAAGAAACAGATGCTTTGAAATGTGAAAAGGACAGAGTTTTGGCTATTTGCAGTACAAAATCAAGTGAATGTGATGCTCTTCAACATCAGTTGACACAGCATCAGAGTGAAATTATGTCTGTGAAGCATGAAGCTCATATGCTGAAATTGGAAAATGAAAAAGTTAAAACCAATGTTGAAACTGTCAGTGCTTCCTTAGTGAAAAAATGTGAAGAAACAGCTGCCTTAAATGCAGAGCTGTCACAGCAAGGCCATACTATTTTAGCCTTGAAGGGCCAAATTGATACTCTGGTCACTGAAACAGAAACATTAAAAAGTAGTGTTCAGGATAAAGAGGCTCTCCTTTCTCAGGGGGATGCTTTTATTCAGCAAATGAAAGAGAACAAGGATGCAGGAGAAAACCAATATTTGCAGATGATTTCAGATTTGCAGAGTCAGGTCCAGGTTCTAAGTTGTGAAGCTTGTCAGCTTCGGCAAGAAATGCAAGGCAAAGAGCATGAATTTAAAAAGCAAGAACAAGAATTAAAATTGTTTAAAGATAAATCTGAGGAGTCTGCTTTTCTTAGAGTCCAACTATCTGAGAATATGGAAATAATTTCTGATCTTCAGAGCCAGCATAAAACTATGATAGAAAAGACAGAAGAATTAAGTAAGTCAGTTATACAGAAAGATAGTTTCTTAAAACAGAAGGAAGAAGAATATAGTAATTTGCAAGCACACATTTCTGAGTCTTCCCGCATGCACCAGAAACTGGTCGAGTCATTGACCTCTGAAATAGAACAATTGAAAGGAAATGTTTTTGAAAAAGAACTGGTTTTAAATAATACTTCATTGCTTAACAGTAAATTAAAGACTGAACTTCAAGACACGCACATTGAGTACGAGACTTTGAGGAAGCAGGCTATAGATGCAGAAGAACTGAACTTGAATCTAAAAAAAGAAATAAGTGATCAGAAAAAAATAATAAATGATATTACCGAGACAGTGATGGGAAAAGTTTCTCTTTTAGATAATACCAGTCTAATTAATAAACTAAAAGAGGAACTCTGTATAAAAGAGGAAAAAATACAGCTGATTTCTCAGCTTCACAGTCAAATTAATGAACTTACTCAGGAAATCCAAAAGTTAAAAGAACTAGCACAAGAAAAAGAAAATGCTTTCTTATCTTTACAAGACAAATTTGCTGCTCAGTATGAACAAAAAAATGATCTTAGTGCTACTCTGAGTAAAAAAGAAGAGTTTATTGCTGAATTACGTAATTCGTTGGCTCAGAAGGATGTCAATGTACACCTAGCAGAAAGCAATGTTCATGCTCTTACTAATGAGATTGAGTTGCTTAGAGAAGAACTGGGGAAAAATGCCACTTGCTTAAAAAATCTCGCACAAGAGAAGGATGAAAATATTGCACTTAGCCAGAAGAAAATGGACTCTCTGACAACTGAACTAGATTCTGCAAAATCAGAGTACCAGAAAGCATTGGAAGCAGTGGACCTATGGAAGTTAACTGTACAACAAAGGGATGCAGCTCTTCAGGTTATACAGGAAAAATACACTGAGCAGGCGAAGCAGAATGAGTGCTTAAATTCTGAGCTCAGCATTTTACATTCTAAATCCTCTCAAGAGTGCCACAACCACACACTTTCAATAGAAAAATTACAACAACAGGTGGATTCTTTAATTAGGGACAAAACTCTTTTACAGGAGAACATTGAAAAACTGAGTATAGAAAACAAAGACCTGGTTATATTGAAAAAACAGTTGCAGGAGAAATGTAAAGAGCTACAAGAATTTCAAGAAGAATTCGAAGACAAAGAAAATAAATCAAAGATGCAAATAGATGCCATTACTTCACAGCTGAAGAATGAGAAAGAACAATTGCAGATGCAGGTTAGTGTGAAGGGTAAAGAAGTTGGTGAATTAAAGTTTAAGGTTGAAAAATTAGAACAAAGTCTCCATGAGTCAGAAAACAGATGGGTGACAGAACTTGATAGGGCAACTCAGCAAAATGCAATTAATCTTGAACAACTGAGCAGTTTAGAAAGGGAAATAAAATTAAAAAATGATCAGATTCAGTCTGTACACCAAGAGCAGGACCTGATTAAAAAAGAGCTGTCTGAACTCCTGTCTGTATTATCAAGTAGTAGGTATTTCATCAAAGACAGTGATTGTATTGCTGATCAGCAAATAACTGAAAGTAAGGCGCTACTAGAAAAATTCTCTCCTTTGATAGCTAGAATTTTCAGTGAAGAAAGTGAAGCGCTGGCACTGCAAAAAACCCTTTTAGACAGAATCAAGGAAATACATGAGCTAAATAACCAGCTGAAAAGCATGCAGTCTCTGAAGCAAGAGAAAGAACTGATGCAGATTGACCTTGAGAAGGCTAAAGATGCTCATCAATCTGAGACTGATCACCTGTTAACCGAACTGTGTACCACCAAGGAGGCATTATGTAAGCAGCAGTCTGTCTGTGAAGAAAGGGAAACTGCATTAACAAACATGAAGGAGGAGGTTATTTTTATTCAAGCAAAGATTGTTAAATTAGAAAAAGAACTTGAAAATGCTCAGAAGGTAATAAATACTGAATGTCAAACAGTAGCAAAACTTTTAGAAGAAGTAGAGCATAAAAACCAAGTGATAGAAAATTTAACTTCCCAAGCTAACCAGCAGAAGGATTTAATTTCTTCTCTAAGCCAGCAATTAAAAGAAAAGGATTGCTCAGTTACTCAGGTCATGGAATCCATGTCTAATGAAATGGTAAAATTTTCTGAAGAGAAAAAGGTACTTCTTTCCAAACTGCAACAACTGGAAGCCACTCAAAACAGTACTATCAAAGAGTCAGATACATTATCACAGCAGCTTGATGAATATAAGAAAGAACTTGAACTCTCTCAGTTTTTGCTTGGCAACAAAGATGCTGTAATTAAAGATTTAATGAGTGAGAAGGAGCAGTTAAATTTTAATCTGGAAAAATTACTTCAAGAAAAAGAGAATTTGAAAAAGAAACTTCAGGCAGCTTTGATAATAAGGAAGGATTTAATTCAGAAGCTTGGGAAGCTTGAGGCAAAAGGGCAAGAAGATATAGAAAGGGAACGTAAAAAAACTAAAGATTTACTGGAGCAAATTGATGAATTAATGAAACAGGGTAAACATTCTGAAGTCCAAAACAAAGGTCTTGAAGCCCAACTTGAAGTCCTGAAAGAACAATTGATAGAGAAAGATGCCAAGATAAAAGACATAAGTGAAATGTTGGCTACTAAAGCACTACTTTTGGATCAGCTCCGGAAGAATGTTACAGAACTCAAAGATGCCATTGCTGAACAGAAAAGCATGTCTGATAAGAATGTAATATCTCTACAGGAGAAAGATGTTCTGGTTGAACAGTTGCATTCTGCACTCAATGAGAGAGAGAGAATACATGGGATGGAATATCCTCAACTTATCTCAACTATAGAAAATCTCAAAGCAGAACTAGCAAAGAAAGAAGAAACATTCCGGGAAACAAATGAGGCAGAAGAGAACTTAAATACTGAAGGCTTTTGTACTAACACCACATATTTTCCTACTGATATTAATCAAGTTAATCAGTTGCAGAGGGAGAAGAAAATCCTGCAAAAGAAACTTCAGGCATTGCTTGTTGCCCATAAGGAAAACACTAAAAAAATTCAGAAAGAAAAGGAGGAGCATGCTAAGCTGCTAGCAGATTTTGATCAACAAACTAAAGACCTCGAGCTGTTAAAAAGAGAACATAATGCACTCCAGGAGATTCATCAGATGAAGTGTAAAGAATTTGACTCCAATTTGTTGCGTTTATGCTCCTTGAAGAAAGAGATGGAGACTGTTGTAGTTCTTCCCCACAGTGAGAATGTGGAACATAAAACACTGGGCTCAGTGGAGCTAAACATGAAGGAAGAAAACAAAGACCTTAAAGAAGAGTTGCAAGAGAAGCTGTTGGAATGTGAGAAGAATTTAGAGAATACAGTACACTTGAAGAACACTAGTGAACATCTGAACCAGAATTATGAAGAAAACAAAAGCAGTGTGCCAACTGAGAGAGGTCAACTTCAGCAGCAACAGAAAACACATGAAGATGAATTGATGGAAGTTAAAGAAACTGTGATTGAAAGTGTGAATAATGAAAAGGATATTCTCCTTAAAAAAAGTGAAGGTCACCTGATCAGTAAGGATGAAATTGAAAGCTTGAAACATGATATTCAACAAGCCAACACACAAATTGTAGAGAAGAGTGAAGAGATCCAGTATTTACATCATTCTTGTAAAGATCTCAAAGGCAAATTTGGTCATGGAAAGGAAATAATGGAAGAAGTTTCTCAGTTGCAGCAAAGTTTACAGGAAAGTCAGGAAGAATCAAAACATTTCAAAATGGTATTTGAGAAAATGACACATGAAAGAGAAGACTATATCAGCAACTTAGAGAAATCAAATATGGAATTACTAAGTATGAAAGAAGAGTTAAGACACAGCAGTGAAGAAAATAAAAAGTTATTGATGGAACTAAATCTGCTTCATGAGAAACTTTTACCAGTTTTTAATGAAGGGGAAAATGTGGAAGTATGTGTGGAAGGTAGAAGAGGAAATACCATGGAAGCTGTGTGTTTATATTCAGGTAATCAGATGCAGAACAGGGTTCAAGAAAAAACCATCTCATGTCAATCACAAGATATCACCCAGGAACTGATAGAAAAACACAAAAATGAAGATGGCCAAAATCCCCAAGAGCAGAAATGTTCTGCTGAAGAAAAAAACATGGACCGTCTCCAAAGAAAGCTCCAAGCTGCTTTAATATCACGTAAAGAAGCTCTGAAAGAAAAGAAAATACTGAAAGATGAAGTGGACTTACTAATGACACAAAACAAAGAATTGGTTAATAAGGCCCATGCCCTTGAAAATATGGTGTCTGATTTGAGCAGAGAAAACCAAGACATGACTGCTACTTCTTCACTGTATAAAGAGAATGAAACTGTTGTGACAGAAAATGCTAGATTATTAGTTGAAAATGAAAATTTGAGTGCTGCATGTGAAAGCCTTAAATCTACCATGGAGACTATAGTCCAAGAGAAGGAGGCTTTTTCTTTTCAGATGAATTCTTTAAAAGATTCTCAGACAGTCGAATTGACAGGTTGGAAAGCAAAACATAGTGAATTGAAACAGGAATATGAGTCTTTGCTGCAGGCTTACGAGAATATCAGTAGTAAAATAGCAGAAATGAGGCAAGTGATTGATATTATAAGAAAAGAAAAGCAAGATGCTCTTCACCGAGCAAGTGTAGCCGAATCTGAAAAACAGCAACTTCAGCAGCTGCTTCAAAAAGCAACTGCTGAAAATGCACATGTTAGTGACCAACTAAATCAGCTTGTTGAATCCAATCAGAGGAGAATAGATGAACTGCAGACTGAATTAGAAAGGGCATCTGATCATCAGTTGTGTTTGGAAGCATATCAAGAAAGGGTTGTTGAGAACAAGCAGCTGACAGAGGAAAATGAGCAATTAAAAGAAATGTCTGAGGCCTTAAAGCAAACATTAGAGAAAACTCAGAATGAAAATGAGACTCTTTGTAAGGATTTTAATCTGACAAAAGCTGCTCTGAAGGATCTCCGAACACTGCTGGAATTGGACAAGCTTGACATGCAGTCTGAGTTCAGTGATATACTCAGTGAGAGAGAGCCATTATTAAAACACACCCATTTGTTAATTGAAGGGATATCAGAGAAGGCGAAAAGTGTACTGATGTTAAAACAAGAGAACAAACTTATTTCAGAAAGGTTAAAGGATCTGGAGGAATTGCTGTACCAGAAAGAAATTTCTTTATCGAAGTTAGAGAATGATAATAAAAGGCTTAATCAGGACATAATAAGCCTGAGTGAGAGAATTAAAATACTAGAAGATGACAAATGTCTGCTACAGGAAGAATTGGAAAATGTTCAAGAAACATCTTACAAAGTAAAAAATGAGAGAGAATTTTTGGAGACGGAGTTACTCAATCACATCAAAAAACTAGACGAGACAACTGACCAACTGAAAGCAATGCAGGTACAAAACAGTTTGCTGGTGCAGCAGTTGGAAGATTTAAAAGTGGAGAAGAGCAGTGTGATTAGAGAGAAAGAAGAACAGCATCTGTATCTGGTCAGAGTATTTGAAGAAAAAGTGAAATCTGCCCAGAAAGACAATAATGGGACAAAGAACAAAACCAAAGAGTTACATGAACTTTTAAAGGAAAAACAACAAGAGATCAACCAGTTGCAAAAAGATTCCATTAAATACCAGGAGATTATTTTAGACTTGGAAAAATCAGTAAAACTACAAGAATCTAAAAGTGAAAAGTTTGAGAAAGATTTAAACAACATGGCAGAACAACTTTCCAAATCAAATGAAGAGGTACAGAAGCTAACAGAAGAACTCTCTTCACAGAAAATGTTGCTTGAGGAGTCTAGGGCTGAAATAGAGCTGTTAGCCGCTGAAAACATACATAATAAAAGAGAAGTTAAAAAGAAAGAGAACCAAATATTAAATCAAAAGAAGGAATATGACAGACAATTAGAGATCGGCCTTCAACAGCTGAAAGCAACTTGCCAAAAAGAATCTTTAAACATAGAAGAAAAATACAATGCCCTTCAACAAGAGAAAGAGCGGATCTGTGGTGAACATCATAAGCTGCAAGAAGAACTTGGCATGAAGGACTCTCAGAACATAAATCTTCAGGCTAAGTTGAATGATGCCTTAGCTAGATTAGCTGCTTTTGCTAAGTGTATGTCTTCTCTTCAAAATGACCGGGACAGGGTAATTGATGAAATGAAATCATGGGAAATGCAGTTCAAAGAAGCTATTGAAAGTAAACAACAACAGATAGAGGCCAGCAATAAAACAATAGCATTGTTACAAGAAGCAATAAAGGTAAAAGGTATTCAGGTCCAAGAACTGGAGAGCAAATGTTCTGTGCTAGAAGAACCGAAGAGTGGGGTGCAGGCCTCAATAGAAAGCCACCATTTCAATGAACTTTCCAGAATAAAAGAAGAAAATGCCATTCTTCAGAACAATCAGTGTGAACTAGAAACTGCTCTTCAGTCAAAAGAAGATTCTCTTCAGGCATTGATAAAGGAGAAAAAATCTCTTAACCATCTCGTTAAAAACAGTGATATCATAGAAAAAGAGATGGAAACACTGCAAAAAAGATTGTCACAAAAAGAACAGGAAGTACAACAGTTTCTTTTGGAAAAAAGTGAGCTCCAAGCTGAGTTGCAAAAACAAGTTTCCATTTGTGAACAAATGAAGGTCATGCTGAATAAGAAAGATAGAGAAATTTCTCTTCTCATTTCATCCAAGGGCACAGAAATTTCTAGCTATCTTGCTCAAATACAAACTCAGAACAGACAGCAAATTGCTGAGTGTGAACAGCAGCTAAAGGTTCTGCAAATAGCCAAAAAACAATCTGATGACATTTGTCAGAGGCTACAGAGTGACCTGAAATTTGTTCAGCTAAAAGCTGACAAAGCTGTTCAAGACAGGGCTGAGATGGTCAATGAAATTGATGCCTTTAAAAAGTCCATGTCATCTCTCCAGTATAACCGAGATTCCCTGCTTTCTAAGCTGAAAGACTTAGAGCGAGAGCATCAGACAGTTTTAAGTGAGAAAGAGAGCCTTGTAGCTGACCGTGAGAATGAAAGCCAGGCCCTGAAACAAGAAATAAGGAAGCTTCTGAATCAAATAGATGATCTTCATTCTGAAAACGCAATGCTAATGGCACAACTCACAAAATATAGGGAAGATCTGAATCAGGTTTTATCTCTGAAGGATAACCAGTTGAAAGAATTACTTGCACAAAAATTGGAAAGCATTAAGAGCCTTGAACAAGAAAAAACTGAGCTTCAGAGCAAACTGAAAGAAATGAAGCTGACAGTGGAAGTGCAGGACGAGATCATAGAATCTCTAAGGCTGGAAAATGAGAAGTTAATAGCAAAAGCTCATGACTTAGAAATTCTCATAGCTTCAATAAATAAAGAGAGGTTGGCTTCTGAATCCAGAGAGAAATTCCCACCTCAGGAAGGTGACAGATTTGATCAGAAGAGAGGACACATCACCAGTCAGCAACTTGAAGAAACGCATGAGAAACAGTTACAAGTATTCCAGCAAGTAACGGATAAAAATGCAGTCAGTTCAGAAGACAGGCGTTATACAACTATTTCATCTTTAGAACATGAAGCTTGTTCACTCGGGAATGATTTGGCAGAAAAGAGGATATTGGAAGTTCAGGGTCAGAATAAAGAACTGAGGTCTCAAATAGAGTCTTTTGGGAAAGCTATGACAGCCCTCCAAAGTGACAGGGATCGGTTAATTGAGGACTTCAAGGGACTTCAAAGCAGATATACTTCTGAAATCAAGTCTGAAAAAAGCAGAGCAGATAGACTTGAAAGTGAGCTAAAAGGTATCAAATCAAATGTTTTCAGTTTGCTCAAAGAAAATGCCCTTTTGAGTCAGGCATCAGAGGAAGCTAAAAACAACATCACTTTTGAGCAGTTCACTGAGGAAGTTGAAAAGCTGTGCAAGACATTAAATACTGAACGTCTTGAAGTTAACAGGCTTTCGTCTGAGTGTGAGAATTATAGCCAGCAGATTGGTGCCTTTTCCAAGGCTATGGCCAGTCTTCAAGATGACAGAGACAGACTTCTGCAGGAACTTAATAAACTGAGAATAGTTTATGAAGCAAAACAGGGCATGAGTTCAAGTTCCATCCCTTCTAACTACATAAATGAGATTAGTTCTCTTAAAGATCATTTGGAGACTCTTCAGATGGATAGGGAAATACTGGTAAGTTTTAATAGGTGTGTTGTCTTACAGTAGTAATAAGTGCTAATTTTTTAATTAAGGAAATGTAATGTTTGAAACTGCACACGAAATAACTGTCTCTACATCGTCTAAATGTTGGATCCAGCCAGTGTTTTCACTCAATCGCACCCAATTCTCGTCCTCACTACATCCCCACCCCACACTGCTTTTGGCTGAGCAGGTTCCGTGAGCCACAGCTTAGCCTTTTGGATGGTCCAAGTAGGCTGTTGGATCTCACCTGAAGCTGCTTAGTGTGCAACTTCAAACATTAAGTTTGAAAACTGTTTACTGTTGAACTGTCAGTTTACGAAACTATGTAGAGATAAGCCCTTGCATATTTGTTTTCTTAATCTGTTTCTCCTCCTGTAGGCTAAAGAAGGAGCTAGTCCTGCAATAGCTGAGATATCAGATCTAAAATCCAAAGTTTATGACCTCGAGAGAGACTTGAACCAGACAAAAGTTTTTCAAGAAGAATCTGAGAAAGAAAGACTTTCATACCAGAGTGAATTAATTGGATTACGGTAAACTATTTAAGTATGGGCAGTAAAAGATCTTGTGACTGTATCCATTTTCTTGTGTTGTGGATGAGAGCTGTTTTTTTTATATATAAGCCTCATTGTGGATGGTTTGTGGAGTTCATCGGAAGTTTGGTGTTGATTAGAATTAAAACCTTTGTATTCTGGAAAGTATGTGGTATCTCGTGGGAGGCAAGAGGGGACAGTGGTTTACCACCACTGCTGTAATGTCACCATAAATAAGGCAAAAGTACTGACGAGAGACAGCAAGTATTCCTGGCAATCTATACTTTCTGGTGCTCCTGGTATAATACTTCACCAGTTTAGGAATGTAATCTGGAATAAAAAATGAAAAGCTTCTCCCTTACTCGTATAAACAAAAACATCATATGTGCATTTCCTTATGCATAGGGTTGCGTTGCAATTGATTAATTTTTTCCCCCCAATGAGCTGTACGTTGCAGTACATGACCCCTTTCAAAGTTGTTATCAGTAAAACCCTAGTAATTTGGAAAAATCTGTTAGAGTACTAATAATGTAGCGTTTTATATCCAGGAGGGGAAAAAATCTTCTGCTGGCGGAATCTCATGCACTTCAAAATCAGCTCCAGGCAACTATTGCAGAGAAAGACAGACAGATCGCAGAACTGCAGAGGGTACATCATGAAATGGTATCTCAGAGATCTGGGTCTGCTGGCAGCGTTCACTCAACCAAGGTAAAACAACCAACTGAAAAACCTGCTGCAATAACTTTTAAACATTTCCAGTACAGATAATGTTTTATGTTTCAAATTTAAAGTTAATAACAGCTTTGAGAGTCAAGCAGAACTCAAGTGATTTTTATTAATGCTTAACTGGCTAGTTTTTAATCTGTCTCTTTTATGTGTGTTGTATAACAAACCAAAGCTGAAGACAAAGGTTGATGCAGGCAGGAAGAGCAAGTGCTTTAAATAGGATTGTTCTTCCTACCATTATTAGTATACCACTTTTGTTGAACAGCTCCGTTAAGAGATTCAGAGTCTTGCTAGAACCAGAAACAGGTGTCCATGAGAACAAAACAAAAATGCCTTTTCCAGCTACATCTCATTAGGAAGCCGACCACAGATTTGAGACGTCTGATCTGGTCAAGCTGATCCGTACTTCAGTAACCTGGAGGTGAGATTAGTGGAACATGCTATGAATGTGTGCCCTTGAAGATGATCTAGGAATTAGAGCTAGTACAAAATACAGCAGTTCATCTGATATGACCATGTTAATCCTATTTTGAAGTTGCGTCACTGGCTGCCAGTTAGTTTCCAAGTCCAAAAAAGGTGTTTGTGCTCATCAGGGGTCATTTAGTAGAAAAAGAGGTGCAGGAGCTCATTAGCATAACTCATTAGCATAACTTATTTGCATATGCCACACCCCCTGACATCACCAGAAGTGTGTCAGAAGGCAACACCCACCGCTCAGGCTCCACTGGGCTGTTTTGGATTGCTAGCTATTGGGGGGGGGGGCATGCAGATCTGTCCTCGCAGAGGAGGGAGAACTTGTACCTGAATAAAATTTGGCCTTAAAGGTGGGGGTGGGCTCTGCAACTTACCTGGCTGCTTCTTGCTCTGACTGAGGGCTGCTGGGTGCAGGGGGTGGGGCTTGTTGCATGTGCCTGCCCCCTGGGCTCTTTACTGCCGGAGCTCCGCTCCTGTGCACTCCTGCAGGAAATGACCCCTGGTGCTCACCTTTAAGGTCCTTCATTACCTGGGTCCTGCATACATGAAGCACTGCCTATGCCTGTATGTTTCTGTATAGTAGCTCTGATCTATTAGCAAGGTCTTCTATCAGTCTCCCACATTCTTCCATAGACTTAGGCTTTTTCAGTGGCTTTTCATCCAAACTGGTTAGGTCATGCCTCCGCTTGCTCAGGTAGGGCTATGCAAATTTTGTGGGGGCTGCTATTGGAGAGATCATAGGCTAATCCTCCAGTTTGGATAGCCCTATTGCTCAGGTAGGAGGCTAGAGCTCTGCTCCAAGCCAGACTTTTAAAAATTTGAGAAAACTTTAGGAGGTTCTTAAAAACTTCAGACACCCTTAAGAAGACTTAAGAAAAGCCAGAGAGAGAGAGAAGAAGAGAACGAAGAGAATTACCTGGCAAGCCTCAGCATGCAAGCGCTTAGGACCATGGAAGTGGAGCAGGGTCCAGCTGGGAAAGTTCCTGTGACAGCTAAGAAACAGAAAACATCGGTTGGAAAGAGGAAGGAGGAAGCCAGGGAGAAGCCCCCCACCCAAAGCTTCGGGAGGCGAGGAAACAGCCGGTAAACAGCCATTCTCTGTGCCTTGGCTGCCTAGGGGTTCACCCAGCAGAGCTGCCTGCTCTTGCTGCCACCAGTTTCCCCTGAAGGCATGTGTGGAAAGAGCTGGACTCAGAAGAGCTCTCTTCAAAGGCTTCCCCCTCCCTGGTGAGGAGGGGTGGACAAAGAGCCTGGCTGAAATGGCCCTCTTAGGAGGTCGCCTGTGTGCCCAGCAGCCTGATGATGGCCTATTCCCCCTTCTGCTGAGCTGTGGTAGAAAAAAAAGAAAAAAGAGAAAAAAGCAGTCTAAATGGAGGCATATTCTCCCCTCCATGCTGGGGTGTGGAAGACAGAACCTCAAAATAACTGGCTCTTTTCATGGGCTTGGGATGTGTGCCTTGAAGTCACAACCCCCTCAACGTGAAAGCATTTCTGCCTAGTCATTCCCTAAGGGATCTCTGGCCTCTACGCCTCTGACATCGACCTAAAAGCCCTCCCCTCCCCCCTCCCTTTTCTCAGTGCCAAGAGAGGGAGAGAAAAGAAAGGCTGGGAGGCGTACCTGCCTGAAAGATTCTCTGGCCACTTCCATCACTTCCAGTGAAGCAGCTTGGAGGCATGGCCTGTATTGTGTATTGTGTAGTGGGTTGACCTGGTAGAGGCTGCCTGTCTTAAGGAGAATTCCCCCCTCTCTGCCTTTCTGTCAGTTTTGACCAGAAGCCTGGAAGTGTGGCCTCATGAAGGCCGTTTAAAACCTTTGCTGTGCCTGACTGAAGGAACCTTTCCCTGGCTGTATTCAGGTCCACGTTGGAATCTGTGAAGACATGGGTTCACACAGCCTTGTCATTCAATCAAGATGCACTTAAGAAAAAGGGCATCTGCTTGAATTGGTGGGAAAGAGCACAATTAGATTCCAGATATGCCAAAGACCATGCAATTGGTTTCTATGATACACCCCTAGAACTTGATAAAATTCTCTTGGGAACAGAAGGGAAATATTTAAAGCTGATTTATACTTTGTTATTAGATATGAAAATGCAAGATGAAGTTGTAAAGGAATCTATGATTAAGTGGGCACAAAATATAGGCCATAATATACAAATGGAGGAATGGTCTAGGGTGTGAAAAGTAAATATGAAATTTACAAAAGCTGTTTCATATAAAGAAAATGTATATAAAATGTTTTATAGATGGTATGTAACCCCTGAGAATTTAGCCAAATGGTACCCAAATATGTCAAATTTATGTTGGAAATGTAAAAACAAAATTGGTTCCTTTTATCACATGTGGTGGTCGTAAGATAGCAAAAACATATTGGATATGGATACATGAAATATTGCAAAAAATATTAGATACAACCATACCATTTATTCCTGAATTATTTTTATTAAATATTATACCACAAAATTTTACAAAACAGCATATTTATATGATTGTACACGTTGTGACAACTGCCAGGATACTTTATGCAAAATATTCAGAAAAGTAAGAAATACCCACAAAAGAAGAAATAATACACAAATTGCTTGATGCAGCAGAAATGGACAAACTAACTTTATAATTACAAGGAAAAAAAGAAGAAACTTTTGAAAATAACTGGATAGACGGATAGAGGATTATATTCGAAAATCATGAAATCAACACAAAAAGCAGTTGTTATGTGTTAAGAATTACTTTATAATCAGGTTTTAGTGTACAAGATAAGATTCAAGTCAATTATTTTAAGTCAACCAGGGACAAAAGTATAAGTTCCACTGTTGTAGTTGTTTTTGTTCTTTTGTTGTCTTTCTTTGTTCTCTTTATTCTTTGTACCACTTTTCTTTTTCTCTCTGAAAATAATAAAACTGTATTACAAAACCCCCCCCACAACATAGGTTTCTCACTTGGGGCCTCCCAACAGTCCTGTGAGCAATCAGAAAACCACCCTTTGAACTGTTAAAATCGGTTGAGCTCAAGTTCCTGTCATGGAAGGTGGTCTTCCTGGTAGCAACGACATCCGCCAGGAGGGTGTCAGAAATTAGCAGCATTATCCTCCAGAAAGGAACTGCATCTTCCAGAAGGACTCAGTGGCACTAAGAACAAACCCCTACTTTGTGCCCAAGGTTAACTCAGCATTCCACCTAAATCAGCCGCTAATACTGCCATCCTTTGGACCCCCCAAAAAAAGGTCTGGCACAACCTAGACATACAACAGCAATCAGACTCTCATTGTTTGTCTCACACAGTGGCGAAAATCTGGGGGAAGGGGTAGGAAAATCTACCATTGCCTTCGGATTAAGCAGTGCATATTCAAAGTGCATGAAGTTCAGGGTTTGGCACCACCCAGCAGGATCATTGTGCACTCAAAAAGAACAGCAGTGGTCACAGCAGCCTTCTCCGCAAGAGCTTCTGTTGGGGATATTTGCAGAGCTGCCACATGGGCATTCTTCTCAATTGACCAAGTGGCCTCAGCAGAAGCAACCTTCGGCAGAAGGGTTTTGCAGCAGGTGGTAGAGCCGTACACCATGGTATGGACCCAACCCAGAAGTACAGCTTGGGTAAAGCTAACCCGTTTGGATGACTTTCCCGCACTGAAGGTGAATGAAATATTGGAACTTACATGAAGGTTTCTTCTCTTCAGTGGGGTGAAGTTATCCACTTCCCACCCCCAAAAGATTTTAACAAGGAAAAGGTAGACTGGAAGTGAACCAGGTTTTCACACACTCCTTGTTCTCCTTCTTTTCTTCTCCCCCTTCTTTCCTCCTCTCTCATTACAGGGAGAAGATAATCGCACACTGGAAGATCCTTCACAAATATGGGATCTTCTCTGGCCCTATGAGATTCTGGGGATTTAAGCATCCCCCTTGCATTCAGTTTTTCAGAGTATGCTCACTCAACCCTTGGTGAAAGGAACAGTGTTGAATCAAAGGCCTAGTTCCAATCCCATTCCAGCTACAATACTGGAATGGAGTGAGGAACTAACAAGAAGCACTTTGAGAAAACAAGAATGACTCATATGGCTGCACTTGTTCTCTTCCCAAACACAGAGTCAAGTGGTTCAGTAAGAAAGGGGGAGATGAGAACTTGATTTAAGGTATGCAAAAAAGAATTCTTTTGAAAAAGGAGAGACCTATTTCATTGTTCCCAGCATCATCTGCAGTTTTCACACTGTAGTTAAAATGGTTGCAAGCCATCTCAAGAGTTTTTCTCTTTTTTTAGCAGATGGGTAGGCTAGAGATCCTTTAAATAAACAAATAAAATTAGATGTTTCTTATTTAGGGCCACACCAATCTAATCAGGAACTCTAAGAGGGTAAAAACAGGTTTCCACATGCCTAACCCCAGCTGGATAGGAAACCACCCATGTAAATGGGTCCTGGGCATCTAATTCCTCAACTCCCATCCAGCATCCAAGTCTGGGCATGCAAAGTTAACTTTACCAAGTCTGAGCATGCAAAGTTAACTTTAAAAATATTCGCCTATCCACTGAATAGTAGAGGAAACTGAATTTTGTTCCTTCATGCTCTCCGTGTCCTGCCAGTCAGTGGGATTTCAGCATTTTTAAACTGGGTCTGCACAAGTAGCCCCCACTGTTCTGTGCATGCTCTTTTGGGAGGGCAAATAACAGTGAGCATTACTTTACTGTTTACACTCTGTATTAAAGTCCCTTGTTGTTACCCAGGATGAAACTAAGTATTAGCAAAATTGCCTTTAGAATAACACTGCACTGGAAATATTGAATGCACATGCAGTATTGCCAGATCCAGTAGCTTTTTTTTTGTCTGTGTGCTTTGTCTAAGGGATTAGAAACTGTTGCTCTTGTTGGAAGCACAGAGATCCCTGAACAAATGAACCATCTCGTGGCTGAGAGAAATCGGCTTCAGAGTGAGCTCCAGCGTTGCCTTCAAGAGCTGCACCAGAGAGATATACGATTCCAGCAAATAAATTCAAAGGTACAGAAGAAGTGATCTCTAGATAAATGGTATTCTGTAGATATTAACATCTAATACTTAAAATACTTCAATATGTTGCCCATTTATTAGGACAAAAATTAGTGAACTAGTGAGCTGAAATGGTACATTTTATGTCCTTTAAATTGTCTCTTTTGAATACACAGAATAAATTCAGGAGAGAACTGTAACAGTGAACCTGTCAGTATGTTGGTATCATAATGTTTGATTATGATAGACAGAAAGGGTTGGCATCATAATCTTTGATTATGATACATTTGAAAATATTGATTACCTGTTTATGAAAAATGAATGTCTATCTGAGGGCATTAAAATTGTATTATTGCGTTATAAATGTATTCTCCTAGTCTGCAGGTTTTCCTCATATGTATAAAATCTTACAAAGTGGCAAAGAATTTGGTGTCATAACAATTTCCACAATGAAATAAGCACAAATCTAGTTCTGATGGTTTCAGCCTTTTTTCGTGTATGACAGACATAAAAGCTTGGAAATAGGGTCAGAGTCTGTCAGAAGGTTCAGGCCTCTGAAGATCCTGGTAGTCCGACTGGCACTTTCGGTATATGCTTCCTGTTCCACTACTGTACCCACTATCCTTATCTCCCTAATACTAGGGAAGTAGTACTATGGACATCCACCCTCCCTTGTTATTTCCCACATTACCATGTCATTTGCTGGTTCTGTCACTCAATTCCATGGGAGTTTTGGCCCCTTGAAAGCCTAAAGTGTGATTAAACTCTGTATGTCCATCGCTGTCTTTCTTTGCCACAGGAGAAAATGCTTTCTAAACTTGGGACAGTTTTGAAAACATTTTGTAGTACAACAAAGGGTAAGGCTTTTTTAAATTAATGATCAAAAGGATCAGAACAAAGTTTGAGTCCAGTGACACCGTTAAGACCAACAACATATAATTCTGGGTGTAAACTTTTATGTGCATGCATATTTCATCAGATACATTGAAACAAGACTTTCTCAACCATTACATATAGGGAGGTAGAGGGTGGGGGGGTTAGTTGCCAGGAAGGGTTAATTAGACTCAAGACAAGAGGGGACCCGCAACAAAATGTTGCCATCCAATCTTATTGGCATTTCAGTGCAGGGGAAGAAATGGCCAAGCCCACACATCTCCAGGCAAAATACTGCACAGACTCACGCTCCTGTAGTCTCTGAAGAAGAAAAGGTTTTCCTCCCCGCCCACTCTGTTTTTTTATTTTCCCTGTAACAGTAAGCTATAAAACTAATTGGCTGGGAGGAGGCGGGGAAAGAGGGAAGAGCCGAGGCACTGGGAACTTCTCTCACCTGCTCCAAAGGGTGGAATCAAAGACATGTTTATTTTCTGCTGGCTTCCTCCCCCCCTTTTTTGGCGTAAGTGTGCGCTTTCTTCTTGCAATTGCATGGAAAGCGGAAGACTCCACCTGAGCAGAGTGAAGGGAGCTGAAAGCTGCTGCGGTTTGCTAAAGCACTTTAAAAATCGCAAGGTAGATCCTGTTGTCAGCTGCTGCAGGCTTGAACGTTTGGTGGAGGGGGCGTGGCCATGGGGGAGGACTCAACACAATCAAAACTACAGGAGGGGGAGGAAGGGGGAGAGTAAGCTCCTCATCCTCTGCTTGGTCAGTCCGTTTCCTGCCCACGCGCAGTGAACGCTGATTTACTTTTTGGCCATTTTTAACCTTTTTACAGTTTTTAGATTTTTCTGCACACCTGGGGAGTGGCCCACGTGTGCAGGTTCATCACTTTCCCCTACATGTGTCCCCAATCTGTGGAATTAAGTATCCGCACGCAGGGGGCCATGTTGAGATTAGATATATAGATGCTTAAGTAACTGAGCAATAAGTATAGCTAAGATTGGGTTAAAGCATTTGGTAAGATCTGTGAATAGCAGCAAATTAGCATACAGATAATAAAAGAGATGTGAGAACTAAGTTGGAGTCCAGTGGCTCCTTTAAGACCAACAAAGTTGAATTCCAGGTATAAGCAAGAACTGCGTGACTTAACTAGTGCAGTGAGATAAGAACCTGTGGGTTCCATCGTCCTGAGTGTCGTAATAACTGGTAATCCTGTGATCTCCTGTTCCAGTCTATTTCTGAAATTCCTTTGCAATAGAATAGCTACTTTGAGATCCCCCATTGAATGCCCTGGGAGGCTGAAACATTCTCCTACAGGTTTCTCAATTTTGTGATTCTTGATGTCAGATTTGTATCCATTTATCCTTTGGCATACAGTTTGACCTGTTTGCCCTATGTAGAGAACTGAAGGGCATCGCTGGTATTTAATGGCATATACAATGTTAGAAGATGAGTAAGTAAATGTTCCTGAGATAGTGTAGTTGGTGTTGTTAGGTCCAGTGATTGTATTGTCTGGGTGTCTGTGACAGCAAAGCTGGCATCTGGATTTATTGCAAGCTCTGTTCCCGGTGTCCATGTTCAAATTAGATTTTGTATTTAGGGATGGGTATGAACTGCCTGATGAACCAAAGTTCATCACGAATTTAGGCCTCTTTGGGGTTTGCGAACTGGAGTTTGTGAACTGAAGAACTGGGACAAACTATCATGAATTTTGGTGCATGGTGGTTCATGATGGTTTGTGAAGGGTTTAGCCCTGCTGTCTGCTCTTCAGGAGAAACAGCTGAGCAGCTGGGAGTTCCCTGCTGCTCAGCTGTTCGAGAGTTCCCTGCTGCTCATCTGTTTGGGAGTTCCCTGGGAGTTCCCTGCTGCTCAGCTGTTTGGGAGTTCCTTGGGAGTTCCCTGCTGCTCAGCTGTTCCCTGCTTTCAGCTTCCTGTGGCTTTTTGTGGGAGCTGAAAGGGTTTAAATGGCTTTTGCTTTATGCTCCCTGCCACTATCTGCTGGGAGCAGAAAATGGGGGTTTAAATAATTCTGCTTTCTGCTCCCTCGGAAAAGCCATGGGGAGCAGAAAGGAGGGTTTAAGTGGAAGGGATGAAGTTCCTTCCTGTGGCACTTCACCCCCACCTTTCTGCTGGCTGCTGCAATTTGCAGCCAGGAGAAAGGTGAAAGGGAGTTCCTTCCCAGGAGATCCCCCCCACTTACTCAGTAGCCCGAAGCAGCTCACCAGCTCATCTGTCACTCTCAGAGTGCCTGGTGCAGCCCTGAGACAGCTGGGCCAGCAGACAGGAAGAAGTTAATTGCCTTTCAGGGCCCAGCAAACAAGAGGGGGTGAAGAGAGCAGAAGAGGAGATTGGATTTATACCCCGCCCTTCAGTACTCAAAGGAGTCTCAGAGAGGATAACAATCCCTTTCCCTTCCCCTACCCAAAACAGACACCCTGTGTGAAGTAGGTGGGGCTGAGAGAGCTCTCCCAAGAACTGCCCATGAGAGAATAGCTCTGAAGAAACTTATGACTGACCCAAGGTCACACCAGCACCTGCATGTGGAGGAGTGGGGAATCAAACCAATTTCTCCCAGATTTGAGTCGGTGCTCTTAACCAGTACACTAAACTGGGAGGCACTTCACCCCTTCCTATCTGCTGGCTGGGGGAAGCCACAGCCAGAAGAAAGGAGGGGGTAAATGCCCCGGGAGACATTTCACCCCATATGTAACACTCTTGTTTTGCTCCCCATGCTTCAAAATGGCGTGGAACAGAACTGGAGGGTTTAAATGCCCCCCCCCCCATTTTTGCAGGGATGAGAAAGCAGGGTTCTAAACTTTAAATGGCCCATGAGCCCCATATGAATAGTTCAGTTCCGAATCGGCACATCCATTCAGTTTCTGGTTCACTCATGAACCACAAACCAAACCGCAAAATGTGGTTCATTGCCCATCCCTAGTTGCATTATTGTGGGTGAGGAGTTGTTTAAGATTGGGAGGCTGTCTGTGTGCAACAAAATGCCCTTCAGTTCTCTACATAGGGCAAATGGGTTAAGCCTATGCCAAATGATAAATGAACACAAATCTGACATTAAGAATCACAAAATTGAGAAACCTGTAGGAGAATGTTTCAGCCTCCCAGGGCACTCAGTAGAGGACCTTAAAGTAGCTGTTCTATTGCAAAGGAATTTCAGAAACAGGCTGGAATGGGAGATTGCTGAATTACAATTTATTAGGGCTTAACAGAGATATCGGATTCTTATCTCACTACATAGGCTAAGTCACTCAGTTCTCGCTCATACCCAGAATTAAACTTTGTCGGTCTTAAAGGTACCACTGGACTCAAATCTAGTCCTCGCATCTGTTTTTTAACTGTTATTATCTGTATGCTAATTTGCTGCTATTCACAGGTCTTACCAACTGCTTTAACCCAATCTTAGCTATACTTATTGCTCAGTTACTTAAGCATCTTAAGTCTAATTAGCTCTTCATGGCAACTAACTCCCCACCCTCTACCTATATGTAATGGTTGAGGAAGTCTTGTTTCAATGTATCTGAAGAAGTGTGCATGCACATGGAAGCTTACCCTTTGAATTAAATTTTGTTGGTCTTAAAGGTGCCACTGGACTGTAAAGTTTTTTTCTGTTGCTTCACACCAACACGGCTGCCCACCTGAATCTACTGTCAAAAGAATTGTGTGCAGTGTGCTTCAGGGAGCTTTCAGGGAAGCTTCATAAGCAATACAAAGCAAACTGACATATTCACATATGCTTACCTAGCAGAATATCAACCTCATAGTGGATGCACAAACTTGTTAGTGAATGGTCAAGTAACCTTCTTTGAAAAAGCAGTTGCACAGTGGTGTTTACCCAAGCCAAATTGTTGCAGGTAATGCAGTCAGTCGAAGAAAATGCTGTATTGTCTGCTCAGCTGAAAATGGTGTCCCAGACTTTGCGGGAAAACCAGCTCCGTTACACTGATCTGCAGAATCGTTACTTACAGCTTGAAAGGGAATACCAAACAGAAATTTCTGCTCAGGGTACTGCTGAGGTAAGAAAGCACAAATAATTACTTTGGTTTTATTTTCTGTGAGGCAGTCTTCATGGGGAGCTTTCTTTGGTACAGAGCCAGGGTTGAAGATCTGCAGGATTGTTGGCAGATCATCAAATTGATACGTAAGACAGGAAGCTTCTAGGCAGAAAAGGCAGAAGTGGAAACTCTTGTGCATGCTCAGATAGGTTATTTCTTCTGAAAATGTGTGTCATTTTCTAGGAAGGATAGAGAAACAGGAAAACCCTGTACATAACCGGGTGAAAATTTCTAGGCTGGAATAACAGTGTTCTTTTCAGTGCTTATGTCTCCAAGATGATGCTATATATGCTCTGGGGGAAAAACCTGCACATGCTGCTGGTGGAAAAGTTTAAACGGTATCATGTTAAAATAACTGGTGTATGAGGACCTAAAGCCTTCATTGTGGCTTTCAGTAAAGACAACACCACCAATGGAAACATCGAGTCCTGAATCACAGTGCACGTACCTTCATCAGAGACTGAAATGCTGTGCTCTCCTTTAATTTAAGAAGTGTGGCCAGATGCTTATCTCAGTGCCTGACTATTTAATGCCATTGCTTTAAGTGTGTCAAGATCTCTTTGAAGACTTTTAGGATCTTGTTCATTCTCATGATGGATCAAAAGTGCTTTTTATGGTTGGACTTCTAATTTTTTATAGTAATATATCCTTGTTATTTTTGTGATGTATTTGAGAATCTCCTACGCCTGCTTCAATCAGCAGAGTTATCCATAGTTAAGGCTAATCCAGTCCGTCAGGATGCCAGGTAGTTAGTAAACCTTGGTTAAGTGGGAGTCTGGTTGACATTAGCCGTGACTGATGTCAGTGCTTAACCTTAACCATGGTTAAGCCATACAACAAAGTTAGTCCAATGGCACCTTTAAGACCAACAATTTTTTATTCAAAGTGTGAGCTTTTGTGTGCATGCACACTTCATCAGACGATGAAATGGAATTACATATTGTGTATATAGATAGGGGTGGCTTGTTAAATTAGCATGCAAAATAGTGAAATAAAGAATGACAAGCTTGGTTTCTGGTTATCATCTGTTTCGGTTCAACTGGGGGGGACGGACGACAACATAAGTAATAAATGTTAGAGCTGGAGATTGATGTGTCCTAATTTGTGAGAATGCCGTCCTTAGACGGATTAAGCCAGGTAGACAAAAGAGAGGCAAGAAGAGGCGAGTTACCCACATTGTTTCTGAATATGTGCATATTGGTGAAAGTTCTTTTACTCTTGGAAGACCTCCTCATAATAATTGTTTTAAGACTATATATGCATCCACCTTTCTTACTCAGTTCCTTTTAATAAAAAGGGCTGGTGTGTGTGTGTGCGCATATGTGTGTAAGACAAATTAATTCTACTAAGGAATCAAACTACTGTTAGTGTACATTTTTCTCTTAAGCATATTGATATTTGTTGTATTTAGGATGGAGTTCAAGCAGAAGTTCCCCCAGGAGCTCCCCAAGAGAAAGCTGCTGTCCTTGTTGAAATAGATAATGTGGAACTCTGTGAACTCAGGAAAAGGTCAGAATTGTTTGTTGGCAGCTCTTTTTCTGTAGTGGACTGTGCTATAAAATGTAGTACACTTTTTTTTGGTATGATACACGTCAGGAAGAACTTACTTTGTGTGTTTAAATTTTATCTACCTGTATTAATTTTTCGCTTGAGTGAGGATGCTGAGCAGGTTTTGCTTTGCTTTGAATTTATCTAGAATCTGGTTTTGCTCTAGGCTTGCAGAGATGGAGTTACAACATGATTCAGTGCAACAAACTATGTCACAACTCATGGAAACACTCTCAGAAGAGAGGAATAGGCGACAAGCTGCAGAAGAACACCTTAGGCTCTCCAAGAACCAACTTAAAAGGTAGGTATATTTGAAAACATCTCTCAGACAGATCTAGAAGGAAAAGAAGTAATTGAAGCAATTTAAAAAAAAGTGGTCCTTGGGTTTTTTTGGTGCAACATCTCACTGATCCCCAATGGAATGTCTTGATATTTATAGCTGTCCATACTGGAAACAGAAACCCATTCCTATGTATTAGATGGAAGTTCAGACCTAACAATGTGATTTCTATTTTGTTTTGTGTACACAAATCAATTCCCCCCAGTTGCATCATTGTGTACTGTAGTGGTTGTCAATGTCTTTCTCTTTTCTCACTTCATGGAATCCTTTACTCTTATTCATCTGCCGTAGGACACCTGCATTTTGATAGAGAATTTGTGATCATGGTTAAAGGGATACGATTAGTTCATGTGGCACATTGGTCACAGGATTTGTTAGACATCATTGTTTTCTTACCTGACTGGAACAACACTCTGGAATACATTAAACATTTTCCTGTGGCTGTGTGTTTCAGGGGTGTCTTTTTAAAAAGAATTTTATTAGTTTATATAAAGAAAGTAGGGGAGGGGAGAGGAAGGAAAAAAATATAAATACAGAAATATTCACATTTCAATTTAACATTCTGCATGCATATCTTCTCATTACAATTTCACAACTATTTCATCTATCATTCTTATTATTCTTCACTTAATCTTATTTTCTCAATACTTAAGTTTTAACCAGTCATAAAATGCCCTCCAGGGTCCCATAAATTCTTCTTCCATTTTTCCTTTTAATATGTTTGTCAACGTGCCCATTTCAGCACATTACATAATTTTCAATATTAACTCATGTAGTGTTGGAATTTGCAGTGTCCTCCATGCCATTGCAAATAAAATTCTGGCAACTTTTATAACATGTAACATGAAATATCTATGATTCTTATTTAACTCATCTGGTAAATAGTTTAACAAAAATATATCTGGCTTAAAAGGTATTGTGACATTCAAGGGTGACTGTAGGAAAGTATGCATTTCAATCTAGAATTTATGAACCTTGTTCCAGTTTGTGGCACGCTGATTTTGAACAGTCCTGGGAGATTCTCCCGAGGAACCGCCAAATCTCCAGGTTTTTAGTGGGGTCTGGGGCTTCCTGGACTTCATTGAGCCTTCCCAGAGAGAGGCTCATTGCAGGGAGCTTGATCTGGGGGCTGTCGCATGCAGCAGCACGCGAGTAGACCCCAGACCACTCCGACACGAGAACCTAGGAGAGAGCACTCAGTGGCAGCCATTGAGTACCAAGGCATGATCTACCGATTCTAAGGAGTCTTTCCTACCTGTAGAGAAGAAATAAAACTGTTCTACAGCACCGTGAGTACCTGGGCTAAACAATATTGCCTTTCTATGGAAGAGCTGATGTCCCTTTAAACTTTAAAGCTACAACCTATAAGGAAAAGGAGGGGTGGTCCCCCCCCTTCCCTGGCAAGCGGCTTGGAAGAGTTGTTCTGGGGGGGTTCCCTCTAAGCAAAACAACAACAACAACAACAAGAGCCGCCCTGCTACTTGGGTGCTGGTAGGTAGTCACCTCCCCTGTTAATGTGGCCCTAGACAGGTAATATAATCATATGTAAACTGATCAGAGACCCTTGCAAAAGGGTTTGAGCAGTATATAAGCCGAAAGTTAAATAAATAAATAAGCTTGTAAAAAGGGCTAGGGGGCTGCTGAGAGGCTGTGGGTTTTCTCGAGTCCTTGGAATGTTTTGTTCTTTTTAAGGGATCTTAATTTTGGAACTATAAGTTGGGCTAAAAATTATATATAGTGGAAGATCCCAGTTTGCAGTAAAAATACTATCTTGGATTGTTTTTTATTTGACTTTTTCCTTTGGATTGTTGAACCTGTGGAATAGTGTCTTAAGTGTGATTTAAGTTACTCCTTATGTGAAGACCCTATTTTGGAATATAAATTTTTCCTGGATAACTATTATTGGCTACTTCTTGGGTTCTGCTTTTTTACTGGTCTATTGTGGATTATTTGGCTCTTCTTGGATATTGTTGTTTTCTTTTTTCCTTTTACTGGAATATTATGAATTATCTTCTGGATCCCCTTGGTTTATGAAGGACTCTGTGGTTTATAAATATTTTTTTTCCTTGAAGAAAATGGTCTTAAGTCCTTAAAGTGAAAGAAAACAGCTGAATCTTTAACTAAGCTATAAAATAGAGATAAACTTTAAGTAAGAGAGAATAGAGATCTTTAACTAAGCTATAAAATAGAGACAAACTTTAAGGAAGAGAGAAGAAAAGGAAAATACTATTTAACGTCACTTCAGTGAGATAATACTTTGCATGTTATCCTCTTGCTTCTTAAGTGGGGGTTGTTGTGTCTACATTGTGAGATATTGTTTAAGCATGAAGTGTTCCTGTAGTAAAGTCAGCAATTGATAAAAATATGCTTGGTGGATGAAAATGTATACATACTAGAAGGTTGTGATATTGTAACAATTATATAAAACTTTTGTCTTTGTTTTGAGAGTGATTTTCTGGTCAAAAATAATAATGATAAGAGTTTTTTTTACTGAAAGAAGGGAGGGGTGATTCTCTGCTGTGTATTGAAGCATTTAAACATGGCTAGTGGAACCAAGAAACTGCCTGGCCTATCCCCAGGACAAGTGAAATCTGTGGCAACTAGTCTGGCACAGATTACCATTAAGGATTTACAGAGCCTGATTCAGGAAAGTGTCTCATCAGCTGTGAATCAGGCAGTTGAAGCGGCTCTTCCATCTGCTGTTGGTGCTGCAGTAGAACCAATTCAAGCAAAATTGGACTCCCTGACCCAACAGATGGCTACTCAAACAGAAGAAATTAAAAAGCAGATTTTGGATAATAAACAAGAGACATCCACTTTGGTGAAAATGACAAGCAAACTGGAAAACAAGTCTGAAGAAGCAGATCTCCAAATACAGAACATAAAGACAAAACAGGACTCTGTGGAAGATACATTAATAAAATTGGAGATTGAGAAAGCGGCTTATATTTTAAGATTTTAGAACATTCCGGAAGAGAAAGGTGAAGACATTAAATTGGATATGACACAGATTTTAGCAGAATATATGAAAGCAGAAAGCGTAAAAGAAGCATATGATGGAATTGATGTGGTTTTCAGAATGAACTCTGCGTATGTGAGAAGAAATAAATTACCCAGAGAAGTCCATGTTAGATTTTACAAGACATCAATGTGAGACAAGATTTAAAAACCTCAACTGAAATATCTCTTCAAATAGAAGAAACAGAAATTAGAATATTAAAAGAAGTTCCTTGGAGGGTGAGAGAAAAAAGACAAGACTACACACGCCTTGCAAGTCTTTTAAGGAAAAATGCAATTCCTTATAGATGGCTACTCCCTGAAGGTATGTTCTTCACTTATGATGGTAAAAGACACAGAATTAACTCAGTTTTTAAAGTAGAAGAGGAAGAATCAAAGGAAACGGATGAAGAAGAGACTCAAAATCAAGGCGCATCAGGCTCTACTGGACTAGAAGAAAGACCTAAAAAGGGAAAGGTAAAGACTGTTCCATTCCAGGTTGTCACCAGATTACAAAAGAAGAACAAAAATGGAAATAAGAAAGTTATGCAAGATGAATAGAAGGAAACTAAAAATAATCTCAAGTAATGTAAATGGACTGAATGCCCCACAAAAGAGAAGACAGACATTTCAGCAAATTAAGAAGATGCAGTTGGATGTTATATGCTTACAGGAGACTCACATTAAACATTCAGAGGCCTTTCCCTGGCTTACCCTGCAGACGGTCCCGTCCTGTCCGAGGACCAGAGCAGAGTGAGCCAAAGACGCTGGCCGGGGCTGACGTGGGTGGGACTCCACAAAGCAGCCAGCCAACCCAGCCAGCGTCTTCTGACTGGCAGTTCATGCGGCCAACCTATTTTGGCATGCACCGAACGTTGGGAGACGAAAACACAATTATATATAAGGACAGGATAATACCAGAAAGTTATAAAAAAAACCGGTGGTAATCACTGCTATACATGTGGTAACCACTGCTAGAATCTTGTATGCTAAATATTGGAGAAAAGAAGAAATGCCATCAAAAGAAGAAATAATTTATAATTTATAAAGTTTTAGAAACGGCTGAGATGGACAAATTAACTTTGCTATTACAAGGCAAGAGAGAAGACATTTTCGAGAAAACATGGTCAAGACTCTGCAAATGGATTGAGTGGTACCTTAAGTGACTCATAACCATTAGAAAGTACAAACAGAATTAGTAATAGAAATAAAAATTTCAGTTAGTATATGTGTATATATAAAGTAGTAGAATAGGTGCAATAAATTACTGTTGTATAAAAAGGGAAGCTTTAAGCACAATCAATGGAATATACTCTTGCTCAATGTTTTATTTGTTTTGTTTGTTTTGTGTGTTGGTGTTGGTGTTATGTGTTGGAAAATAATAAAACTATTTGAGAACCTTTTTACATTGTCCACCACATATGATAGTACGCCTTAATATGGTTGTTACATTTCCAACATATATTACTCAAGTTTTTATACATTTCTATCTGGGGTTAGATGGCCTCTAAAGATGTCTTTAAGGAAAGCTTGTCTGCAGTTTCTGATTTTGACATTGGGAGACCCCTGACCAAGTTTACATAGTTCCCTGGAAAATAGATTTAAAATCTGAATTTACTGAATTGAGACCTTTGGTTTTTAACTGCATTTTTACTGTTGTTTAAAATCATGAAGGTATTGGGTAACCAAGACAGACTGCATTGTCATTGTTAGAAAGAATATGTATTACTTAGAGACTAATAAAATTATAGTGAACAAAAGCTGCAGAATCGGACCCAGTTAAAGAAACTGGCTCATTGGTAAGGGCAAGTTGCCTGATATCCAGGAAGATCTGCATAGACAGATAAGAGGTTGTTTCTAGGATCAGAGATTCTTGTAATGCTTTTGTGTTTCTTCAATTCCCTTTTTAAGGCTTGAAACCGGTAGTTTTAGGTCCTTACCTAGAGAATATGCTATTCAGATGGAGTCCGATGAGGAAAGAGATGCTCTGATCATTAACACCAATGAACATATTGTGGTCCAGCAGTGTTTTCATGATCATTAGATAGCTGAACAACAGGCACTGACTTAGCACTATTGGTACCCGAAGTAGGATTCAGTCTTATCACCAAACAAGGTTATTGGGTGCAAGCTATGCAAGACTTCCTGGGTTAAGTACTGTGTTGTTGTTAGAGAATCAACTCTAATCCAAGAGATCCCAGTTTAGGGGCCATATCTAGACTAAGTTTTCTGCTAATGGAAGGTCCTGTCATCAGTGAAACAGAACTTTGCAACGTCTCCCCTTTCCTCTGCAGTTCATTGATCTCCCTGAAATGCTTCACCTTGGGGAGGCAGGACCTTGGGAGCACCAAATTGAGTGTTTGCAGCAGGAAGGGGGAATAGGCAGAAATTACACTTACCATAAGTGAAAAATTTAATCCGGATCCAATTGCCAAACCTTCTCCACAAACTCACTTCATGGATTTCTGCAGATTACTTTTTTAGCCTCAGATGCAAGCCGCCTGTAATTTTGGAGAAATTCTGGTGTACTTAAGAACACAAGAAGAACCCTCTTGGGTCAGACCAGTGGTCTATCTAGTCCAGCATCCTGTCTTACATAATGGTCAAACACTTAACCTGGAGGGCCAACAGCAGGGCATAGAGGCCGAGACCTTCCCTTGATGTTGCCTCCTGGCACTGGGATTCAGAGTCTGACTGGTTCTGAACATGGAAGTTCCCTTTAGTCACCATGGCTGTTAGCCACAGATAGACCTATCCTCCATGAATCTGTCTAATCCTTGTTTAAAGCCATCTATGCCTGTGGCATCACTACATCCCCTGGGAGCAAATTCCATATATTAATCACTTGTTGTGTAAAGATTTCCTTTTGTCCATACTGAATCCATTTGGAAACTATATACATTCTAATAAGACTTTGCGCTTCTTTTCTGAACAGGTGAAAGGAGGGGCCCTTTCTTTCCGGAGATGGATTCGGGGGCGAAGTCTTTACTGTTCCAAGCTGCTGACCTCCAGAGCAAAATCCCGCTATCTCTTCCTTAGTTATTTGGTGATACTACATCTTCTTGTTTTCCTCTGTCTAACAGGTGTCTTATAAATGCACTGAACTTTATAGGTGAATTATTTTCTTTCAAAATAATGGTGTGCCAATAAAGGTGAAATAATAGACTTCTTACAAGCTGCTGTTACGCTATGCACTGAACACAGTTGTAAATATTCTCAGTATAGTGTGTGGCTTTTGAACTTCTTATTAAAGAAGTTTTAAATGTACATCACAGTTTCTCCAAAGTTGAGTTGAATTGCTGTTTAACAATGGAATATTATATTTGCTAAAGAAAAATATACTGTCTTATCAAAACACACTACGAAGAACATGCTGCAATTGGGATGTTTCATATTCTTTGGAAATATATAATGAGTGAATACTGCTGAATGGGCTGTAAATTATATCTTTTCTATATAAATTTTATTTTAGCAGAGTTGAATTATAAATTTGAAAAAAATATTCTCTTGGGTGTCTTGTCTTCTTGATTATAACAAGAAGCTTACAGAGTGCAATACAGGGAGAAAAGCTGGAATCATCATGGGTTTCTTAACTTTAAATAAAATCTTAAGAACTTAATAGCTTTCTCTTATCTCTGCCTGAACATTTATCATGGTCCGTATGTGATTTGGTTGTTACAAAAATTATTTGTTCGAAATGTTTATTTGTATCTCTTTCTCCTGAAGACCCACAAAGATACAGTAACAAATTGTAAAAGGTGGCACAAATAGATACAATGGGCAGATTTTAGAAGGGTTGATTCACTATATCATCAGTAAGGAACTCTTACTCAAACCATTTTGCTTTCCTATAAGTGGGCCCCTCACTATGTAACTCCCCCAACTTTGAGCTCTTGGCAACTAGCACTTCACTTTATTCACTGTTGTAGATTCAGGTGGGGGTCCGTTTTCTTTTATAACATCATTTATCGTTTTAAAAATATGTGAAAATTGCACTGTCATGTTAAATGTTCAGTACATGAACTGAAACCACAGGGAAATGGCAGGAGTAAAGCAGTGAAACATTGGGTCCCTTTCACAGTCACAGTAACTGTACGTCATTTGTCTAATTAGTGGTACATGACATACAGATTGAAGTATCATTGGAAACCAAATAGCCGAGGCCAATGTTCCCTCTAAGCTGTGGAGTCTTGTGAGCAAAAATTCTATTTTGTGAGCTACTGGCATTAAAGTTGTGAGCGAGCGATTTGGCCATTGCATCAATTCGTTTGCTCTGGAGCCATACTTCCTGAGCGAAGACAAAAATGCGTGAGCCGGAGGCTAAAAAACTGTGAGCTAGCTCACACTAACTCAGCTTAGAGGGAACACTGGCCGAGGCTATCCTTTGCTACTGTAGAAAACTATTTGTTCCATTTGAAATAAAAACAGCACAAAGTAGAACAATTTGGCTAGCCCGGTATTATTGTGAAGAAAGATCTAGCTATTGATTATCAAAACAAATCCTGTAATACCTCAATCAGATGCTGTAGCTAGAGGGAGAAGGAGATTAGCATTGTGTCTCCTGGCTTAATTGACAGAGGAAAGAAGTCAACTCTTACCCAAGCAATTGCTGAGGCCATCCTCTCATATGGAAGACTATGACTCTAAATTCTTTCAGTTTTGGACTGAGGTCCTTCTTAGAGTTGGCAAAGGAAAACATTTATTATGCAGAGTCAGTTTCAAGTGGGCAGCCATGTAGAACAAAATTGGAGTCCAGTAGCACCTTTAAGACCAGGGCGTAAGCTTTCCAGACTGGCATTTTGTATCAGACAAAGTGAGCTTTGACTCATGAAAACTTATACCCTGGAAGATTTTATTGGGCTTTTAAAGTTCTAATAAACTGGAAATGTATTACACAGAAATATTTTAAAATGTCATGCATGCAGGTAATTTTATTAATGCAAACGTAATTTTACTTAATGTGGGCTTGATATTTTCTTAGGCTTTCCAGTGCAAAGATCAGAGAGAACATCACGTGAACACAATACTAAAAGACAGCATAATGTTCTAGCCTTTGCATTACCTTTCTGTGTGCATTATTTTACTCTTACAGAAATATTTCTTGTGTCAAAATATAAAGCACTGTAAAAATTAAGGATGCATATGATTACATCATTACACAACTTGTATCTCTTCTCTGCATTGAAATACATATTGATCACAATATATATTGTATTGAAATATATATTGATCACAATAGAGACACTCCTATCAGATACAAACTGTTTACACAACAGGATGATTTTTAATGCAGTGATTACCATACCAGCTGGTCAAAGATCAAGAATGTTTATACATAGATCTTGTTATCAGAAGCTGGCACTGGGAAAGAGGCATGCAGAAATGGCTTTCCTTCAGTTGGCTGTTCCAGGATAACACAATGGTTGCAAAGAGTCATAGTATATTTTCTACTGTTTGGGATATCCAGATTTATTTATTTTTAAGCGCTAAAGGTCACACATAAGTCCATAAGATGGAACTTGGGTAATCTTGTATATAGATCTGCATGTAATAAGATAGAATTTAGGTAGTCTTGTGTACAGACCTGGATATAATTGCAACCTCATAGGTAACTAGGTTCTGATTCAGACCCCATTTTCAGGAACTGAGTCACACAATCTTAAGATAAGGTAGCTATTTTCTGTCTCTTCAAACAGCAGTACTATGCATGGTAATGTCTCCTTTTGGAATCAGTTCCTATTAAATATGAACAGAGCTATTTTTAGTTAAGTAGGTAACAATGTAGCAAATAAACACTTCTAATCTGGAGCTGACAGTAAACATAGTGATCAGTCAGCGTACCTCTTAGTTGGAAAAAGGGGAAGAGAAGAGGGGGATGTGAAGGGGTGGGGGTGGAGCAGAGGAGAAGCTCAGTTACATAGAGAGCATCTCCAACTGGGAAAGCATCCAAGGATATCAGAACTTCTGCCATAATTTATCCAATCATTGAACCTGTTGCTTTGATAAGTGTAAGCTGAAAAAAATGTTTCCAAAAATGGTATTGGCAGGCTAAGATATTCTGTGAACACCATTCCACAAGCAGATATAAATGTAATAGAAGGTGAGATCATTTCATTTGTTCCAAGGGGGCATCTCCTGGTCTTTGGGGTAAGTATTACCCTGAGATGTTTTCATTTTTATTTCAAATGAAAGTTTGATTTCCAGAAAATTCTTGGTTCTTTCTGAAGCCCTAGATTGTTTTTTCTGATAACTTAGGATGGCCAGATGAAGTAGCATATGCAGATTTCAGTTGATTTTGGATCCATGGTCTAGTTGCCACTTGGTGATTGTGAGCAATGGTATGTTGAAGAGCCTTGCTAATTGCTATTGGTCAACTGGAATGATATGCGCAGGTAATTGACACTGCAATCTTAAACACTGAACTCCCAACTTCCTGATCTCCAGTGGAACAAGAATGCAAGCATTTAGGCAGCAATCGTTCTTACCCACAGCAGTAAGGGCAACTTCCCACCTACTGTTCTTTTTTCAAAAAAGTCTTTTAGCTTTTTAACAGAAATACACACTTCATGTCTCTGATTGATTGTAAATGCTGTGCATATGAAAGTTTCACAAACTATTTAAGTAACAGTAACACCAGACTGGCTTTAAGCATTGACAACAAGTGACAGAAATCAGATGTACATCTGTATTTAGTTCTCACGTTCTCACTGAATATTATATCAAAAAAGGGAATCTCTGCATCTTGCTGTAGAAATCTGATGAACTGCATACTTCCACTGGGGTTGAAATGCTTGCTTTCATTCAGGATGTGACAACATAGAACAAAAAATGGAGAAGCAGGAGCACTTGTACATTAGCTGCATGTTGTAAAGTGCAAACTGAAGCCAGTGTCTTCTCCCTGAGATGAATGGGTTTAGGTTTAAACTAGCATTTGTATAATGCATGGGGGCAGGCATTACATCCTTAATGGCCACATGATTAATATATAGTTACAGTGTTGAATCCCATAGTATTTACTTCTATGTGTTTTGTAGTAATAGATAA